TATTTTTTTTTTCCAATGAACTTATCAAAGTTTTTTTTTTCTTTTTTTTTTTTTGCAATTTTCAGCAAACATTTGTTTCAATTTCCTTGTACATGGTTACATACACATGTATACGTAAGTACCCAATGCGGTATCTTTTAAATTTTGCTCTGATTTTATTCAAATTTCTTTTGCCTCACAAAATGATATTTGAAGGTGGAATTTCTTCTTCCATCAGAGGTTTCATTCAAGATCTTAATCCAAATGTCGATCCTTTTCTTTTTTTCTAATTTAAACCCAGCTAAAAGGGGCGTGTTTGGTAATCATTTTTACGTAAAAATACATTTTAAAATAATAACTTGATGGGAAGTGTGTGGTTGAAAGATAAGAAAATTTTTTTTGATTTATATGTAATATTATTTTAATAAAGAATGTGTGATTGAAAAGAAAATAGAGAAAAATGTATTTTGAGAAAAATGTATTTTGAGAAAAATGAGTATCAAAAAGGGAAATATATATATAAGTTTTTTTTTTTTTTTTTTTTTTTTGGGGGAAGATGAATTTTTTATTTATATGTTTTAAATTATTTAAGTGGGACTCGTTTGTATTATTTGAAAATTTTAGGACTTTGATGTTTTAAATTATTCTAAATGGGGCTTGTTTGCACTATTTGAAAATTTTAGGATTTTGACTACAATTATTTCTTTCTTTCTTTTTTTCCTATTTATTTATGTGTAGAGAAGGGTAAAGTAGTTATATAACAATGCTTTAATAAAAAAAATAGACGATAGAGACTGTTTGCACAAAGAAAGGACGATCTGAGGGTCCAAATACTAAAATTGAAATGATAGAGATGATTTGTGCAATATAGACAAATGATAGGGACTTTTTGCACAAAATACCTATATTTGACAAGAATTGACAGAATGAGTTTAAAATAAATAAATAAATAAATACTGCTAGAAAAGGATAAAATGAGTGTTTAAATGTCAAGTTTGATACGATAAGGACGATTTGTACAATGAGTACAAATGATGAGAACATTTTGTGCTAACTAAGGGGGAAAAATCTTGCTCTTAAAGACATTAATTAAAACAATCGCTTAGACCATATTTAACTCAATTTCTTAAAACTCATTTTCAATTACATATTTTATAAGATACACAATTTTTACCAACTTTTCAATTATACATTTCACTAACTTTTATCAAAATTTATTAAAAAAATTAATTTTTATTCAAACTAAACGGAGGTAATAAAATTACATTAAAGATCACAAGGTGAACCAAGATTTGGATATTTTAAGTTCGAGTTTTGTTTTAGCGTGGAATTCAGGTCACCAAGTCAAGCCCTCGTCAAATACCAGCAGCGGCCTCGTTCAAGAAGAGTTAGATTCAACCACCAAGTCAAGCCGTCTCTAGAGGAATGAAATTAATCAGCTTACTCTGCTGCTCACCAAGTTCTCTTTTCTCTGTTTCTGTTAATGTCACTAGTTCAAGATTTATAAAATGAATAAAAGTAATATGTACACTTTCTTGACGTCTTCAGATCTTTTTATATTCTGTCTTATCCTCTTATCAAGAAAATCTTCTGCTGCTGATTATTGGCATGAAGAATGCCAGCCAAAGAATTGTGGTAATGGCTTAAACATAACTTTCCCGTTCTATATTCAAGGTGTTCAAGAATCTTACTGTGGTTACCCCGGATTCGAGCTCAACTGCACTAAAGGACACGGCTACCCAACAATTAGATTACCGGGAAATGACTATATAGTCGAAAACATTTCCTATTCTAGTCGTTCTTTTCGTGTTTATAATTCTGCTGTTTTGAACACTTCGAACCGTACATGCCTTCCACAAATCAGAAACACAACTCTTCCTACCGCGTTCAATTATGCTAATGTAACATTGCTGTATTTGTTGTCCAATTGTACTAAACCCCTACCTGACGATCTTTCGAGGTACCAGGTTTCTTGTGGGAGTGAGAATAGAGATGATTGGGATCTAGCAATACGGGATAAGGATGAGAATTCGCAGAATGGATTGGAAAACTGCAAAAAACACGTGGTGGCACCTGTGGATGCGCATGGAGATGATCATGAGAATGGAATGGGAAACTATATGAAGATAATTAGAAGGGGGTTTGTGCTGAATTGGACGGCCAGTGACTGCAGTAAATGTCAAGAAAGCGGTGGCGTCTGTGGCTTTAACACCAGTGTTTACCAGTTCAAGTGTTTCTGCCCCGACAGGCCCCATAGCGTGAGTTGCATGCCTGGTAAGTTATGTTCACATCTTCTTTCTGGAAAAGTGCTGATTAATCAATTAAACTGTACGTGATTATCAAGATAAATTTTATTCCATAAAATTAGCACACAAAACATATTTTATGATGTTAGCAACCTATATCTTGTCTATTGTGCCAATGAAGTCCCTTCCGGACTCTGGTATATTAATGAACATGCAGAATTAGGCAGCGATCTCTTCTTTTGTTTCTGTGAGCAATTTTTAACACGTCTTCATGAATAAATCCTAGTCAACTGTCATGTTTAACCTTTATGATGCGTGTAAATAACTAATTTGTTAGGCTTTGACCTTGATCCACTCCAAAGACATGGGGAAGATACCCAACGAATCTCCCCTCCACCACATGTCGTGGAAGGAGCCATCATCCCAGCAATGGAAGGAAAAACATTAAGGTTCTTCCCCATTAGCACTACAATAACAAGTTCCTCTTTGTGTTCAGCTTCTGCAACTTTTTAGAAATCCCTTTAGAAATCTTTGACTCCCCGTTAACCAATAATCCATATTCATCGAAAGAATAACACTTGGAAGGTTGTCCGTCTGTCAAAGACCCTTTTGGAGGAATAGTTGTTACTTTCAATCTTTCAAGCATACAATCTTTCAAACTATGTGCATGTGTTTCTTCACTTGGTTCAACACAATATCATGTACGCATCGCCCAATATAACAATTCACTTGCCAGTGAAATAACTCTCATTCAACATTTGTCTTATTATCGGGGTTTTCCGTGGCAAATGGTACTTACTCGTTCTTCACATAAAGATCTCCAATTTTTCCTATCCAAATAATATAATCTGAACTGCTGATGCTAATTCCACCTACAATTGAACAAATCAAAATGTGAGTTATGGAATTAACACAAAAAAGGGGAAAAAAATAAAAACTAAATTTGAAGAATGAAAACAATGAATTTCCCCTTTTTTTAATTCAGCTCAGAAAATCAATCGAACATCACAAAGACAACACCAATTGAAGACTTTTGCAATCATAGGGAGAAGCACACAAAGGCAGAAGCTAGGTTTTAGAAATGTACAAAGCAGAGGCCAATTTTGGTGTGTAGAAAGTGAGGCCAAGAGACTTCAATTTATAGGCAAAGGAAAACCAGATTTCCCAGAAAGAGTCGAGTAGATGGACTTCAAGAACACTGAAATTGGTTACCAAACTCACGTGATTTCAAATTATCTCCAAAGTTAGGTATTGAACATCTAGTTCAATGGGCCGATTTCCTCTAAATACCCAACACAATTGGATTATATCAATTGTGATGTGGATTTATGATATTCTTCAATCCTAGGCTTATAGCCTATGAAGACAAACGGGCCTAGATTTTTCATCATTGCCTAAGGGTTATTTGCGCATCACTTACTAAAATACCCAACAACAATTCAAAGAAACTATTCTACTTGTTTAAACCTCCATCATTCATAATAAGAGCAATGAAAACCAAAGATTTGATACTTCTTGCTGGGGGAAATTAAGTCAATATCTAAGATGATATCTGGCAAAAAGGCAACAGAAAAAACAATTTGCCCCTTTTGTACAAACTTAAATAATTAAATGGCGCAATAACCCAATAAATCACGCATTAAAGAACCACATAATACATATTTGGTTATTTCTCTTTGGAGTGTCTACTCTACTCCTTAAATAATTCAAATTATATTCAATATTTAAACTGAATTAGAGCCAAACCTATTATATATGAATTCCTACATGTTGAATATTCAAAAACTAGTCTATATAGATAAAAGGTTAATATGCCCCTTCATATGAACCTTCAGGTGATTTATCCTCCGTCAATCTATGCCAATATTTTGAACAAGTTCATTCCCATCACAAAAGAAGCAAAACCAGATTTTGCAATATAACTACATTGCTTTATTCAATATAAAACCAAGTCAAACACAATCTAATCACAAATTTTCTGATGATACAAAATACAATGAAGATAATCTATTCTTGTATTATAAATTTGTTGACTCCACTTAATGACATTCTTCATTTTCCTGTTCACTACACAAGTTTCTTAGAACAAAATATCTCTCGTATAGAATATAATAAAGATATGGCAACCACAGCTCCAGCTCCCAAGAACTTGGCTGTTGGTAGACGAAGTTTTTTTGAGGATACAACGTTACATAGATATGCCCAAGCCCATCGGGACAGGAAATGTAGCTTGCAAGTCGCCTGAAACTTTTGTAGGGAAAATTCCTATACATGGCAAAGCAGAGGGGAGTTCGAGGTCAAGTGGACAGAGATAAAGGAGAATAGTTAAACTGAAACTTAACACAAGCAATAAAATATAAAACCATAGTTAGTAGTAAGCTGTGNCCTATATCTTGTCTATTGTGCCAATGAAGTCCCTTCCGGACTCTGGTATTTTAATGAACATGCAGAATTAGCTAGCGATCTCTTCTTTTGTTTCTGTGAGCAATTTTTAACACGTCTTCATGAATAAATCCTAGTCAACTGTCATGTTTAACCATTATGATGCGTGTAAATAACTAATTTGTTAGGCTTTGACCCTTGATCCACTCCAAAGACATGGAGAGGATACCCAACGAATCTCCCCCTCCACCACATGTCGTGGAAGGAGCCATCATCCCAGCAATGGAACGATAAACATTAAGGTTCTTCCCCATTAGCACTACAATAACCAGTTCCTCTTTGTGTTCAGCTTCTGCAACTTTTTAGAAATCCCTTTAGAAATCTGACTCCCCGTTAACCAATAATCCATATTCATCGAAAGAATAACACTTGAAAGGTTGTTCGTCTGTCAAAGACCCTTTTGGAGGAATAGTTGTTACTTTCAATCTTTCAAGCATACAATCTTTCAAACTATGTGCATGTGTTTCTTCACTTGGTTCAATCAACACAATATCCTGTACACATCGCCCAATATATCAATTCACTTGCCGGTGAAATAACTCTCATTCAACATTTGTCTTACTATCGGGGTTTTCCGTGGCAAATGGTACTTACTGGTTCTTCACATAAATATCTCCGATTTTTCCTATCCAAATGAGGTAATCTGAACTGTTGATGCTAATTCCACCTACAATTGAACAAATCAAAATGTGAGTTATGGAATTAACATAAAAAGGGGGGACAAATCAAAACTAAATTTGAAGAATGAAGAACAATGAATTTCCCCTTTTTAACTCGGCTCAGAAAATCAATCCAACACCTCAAAGGCAACACCAATTGGAGACTTGCAATCACAGGGAGAAGCACACAAAGGCAGAAACTAGGTTTCAGAAATGTACAAAGCAAAGGCCGGTTTTGGTGTGTAGAAAGTGAGGCCAAGAGACTTCAATTTATAGGCAAAGGAAAACAAGATTTCCCAGAAAGGGTTGGCTAGATAGACTTCAAGAACACTGAAATTGGTTACCCAGGATAAGGGAATTATAACCATTGCAACCATCTCACGTATTTTCAAATTATCTCTAAAGTTGGGTATTGAGCACTTAGTCCAATGGGCTGATTTCCTCTAAATATCCAACACAATTGGATTACATCAATTGTGGTGTGGACTTATAATATTCTTCAATTCTAGGCTTATAGCCTAAGAAGACAAATGGACCTCGATTTTTCATCATTGCCTAGGGGTTATTTGCGCATCACTACTAAAATACCCAACAACAATTCAAAGAAACTATTCTACTTGTTTAAACCTCCATCATTCATAATAAGAGCTATGAAAACCAAAGATTTGTTACTTCTTGCTGGGGGAAATTAAGTCAATATCTAAGATGATATCTAGCAAAAAGGCAATAGAAAAAACAATTTGCCCCTTCTGTACAAACTTAAATAATTAAATGGCGCAATAACCCAATAAATCACGCGCTAAAGAACTACACAATACACATTTGGTTATTTCTCTATTTGGAGTGTCTACTCTACTTCTTAAATAATTCAAATTATATTCAATATTTAAATTGAATTAGAGCCAAACCTATTATATATGAATTCCTACATGTTGAATATTCAAAAATGCCCTTCAAAAACTTGCAATAGCTGTTGTGTGTCGTTTCTGAATTAGAATCCTTTGCTTGAGTTAAGTGGTTTTAGCTGCAGCGGAAATCAAGTCAGCTGAGTTGTCCTTCCAGTTCTTTTTTGCTCGAGCAAGCCATTGGTTCGTTAGAGTGAACTTAGCATGTTTTTTCTGCTGTTTTGCTTTTCTATTCCGGTGTTGCTAGTCTGGCTTACTTCGTCTCAGAGCGCGAGTTTTTCTTCTTTTTAATCTCTTTTAACAATAATGCCATGAAATGTCAGGACTTGTCTTAAAAGCCAAAAACAATGCAAGATCAATACAAATCCAACCTGAGCCACTAACATTTGTATAATAGCCCAGATAAGAGTGATATTTACACTCATCGACTTCTGTCTGTTTTGTCACCGAAAAGGAGGCCCATGTACAACAGAAGGAATGAATTTCCATGGGAAAAAGGTATAATCAGTAATTTCTAATGGTAATATACACAGTTAGTCACGCCTTTTCAGTCTCGTAGCACCATAATCTATAGTAGTTATGCCAGGGTACA